AAAAACTATTTTTCAGAGATTCTTCTCCCAAAAAATTATTTCTTCCTTCAATTTTTTTCCTGCCCGTATCAACTTACCTGAAATGAAACTCAAGTTCTCCTCCATCTCCTCCTCATTCCTCATTTCGGCTTCTTGTGCTGGCTCACATCTCTCTTGTCTCAGACCCTCTCCATCATCTGAAGTATTATCCAAATCAATCTGCAAGGGTGGCCAATCTGAGGAATTGCTTTCACTGTCTTGTCCGCCATCGAAGTGCGCTTCTGTGGCAGACCGTTGAAAATTGACCTCTTCCTCTTGTATTCCCTGTGTAGGTTTGCTGCTAAGGTCCACAGGATGGCATGGTGGTTCCTCAAGCCAAAGGGGTTCTCTGCCAAGTTCATGGCTGGTCTGGGTGCTGAGATCAATTGGCGGAGAATGGCTCCTAGCAAAGTCAAAGCTACTGGCACATTTTTGATGGGGTCGCTTGCTTAAGTCTATTGCAAATGGCACAGTCTCTGGATGATCTCTGCTCCAGATATCTAAATCACAGGTAAAACAAAACATGAGTGAATGAGTGAGTGAGTGAGTGAGTGAGTGAGTGAGTGAGTGAGTAAGTAAGTAAGTAAGTAAGTAAGTAAGTAAGTAAGTAAGTAAGTGAGTGAGTGAGTGAGTGAGTGAGTGAGTGAGTGAGTGAGTGAGTGTGAGTGTGAGTGTGAGTGTGAGTGAGTGTGTGTGTGTGTGTGTGTGTGTGTGTGTGTGTGTGTGTGTGTGTGTGTGGTATGCATGAACATATGTGTGTGCGTGAGTGTACATTTACAAGCGCTTGTGCACAGACACAGACACAGACACACACACACACACACACACACACACCACACACACACACACACACACACACACACACACACACACACACACACACACACACACACACACACACACACACACACACACACACACACACACACACACACACACACACACACACACACACACACACACACACACACACACACACACACACACACACACACACACACACACACACACACACAACACACACACACACACACACACACACACACACACACACACACACACACACACACACACACACACACACACACACACACACACACACACACACACACACACACACACACACACACACACACACACACACACACACACACACACACACACACACACACACACACACACACACACAGAGTAACAATCTGAGTTAATTTCTAGAATATAAGCATTCACCTCTCAATATCTTGTTTCAATGTTTCAGTTACAAATATGAATCTGAAAATTACTAGTTGGCATATATTACAGATCTAAGCATCCATTTGGATATGGAGCCAACTTTGCATCTTATTAAAAAGTGAAATGTAACTGTATTCAAACTTCTCCCTATAAAAGTTTTTCCGAACTAAATCAGATACGTACCTGTACTAAATGTGTGTGCAGAACCATGGACAGCATCATATAATGTCACCCCATTTTTGTTGCCAAGGAGTGTGCAGAAGTCCTTAAGGGGGTATTGAAGGAGGCTGGTGTGGATATTTCTTAGAGACTGTAAATCACTTGTGCACCGATCTAAATCTTGACTATACCATAAGCCACCTGATCTTTCAGTTGAATCCTGAAAAGTGGGAAGCTTTTTTTAGCTTTGTTAATCTTTTTGTAATTTTTACTTGACCTCCTGCCTTCTATCCTGAGCTGATGTGGTAGATGAAGTGCAAGCTAAATTGCTTCGGAGCCTATTTAATTTGGCAGCTAGGTAGCGTATATGCAATAAATATATAGAATCTACTGATCACATAGTATTTCCTCCACAATACTAAAATATCCAGCAAATAAAGAAAGCACACCATAAAGGAGAAATGCATTTGCAGTGCTTGTCTTTGACTATAATTTAATTTTAGATTAGATAATGGGTAATGTTATGGAAACTATGCAAAATCATATCTTGCTTTGTAAGTGAAATACAAAAGAGTAGTCTACATACAACAGGGGAACTGATGCTATCAAAATTAAAACCTTTAATCATTCTCTCACTGTAGAATCAAGATATTATTTTCAGAGAAATAAGATTCCCTAGCATGCTGCATAAATTTTAAAGACTTACTGTTGCTGAATATCCTACACTGCATTATTACAAAGCACCAGTCTCTTGCATATATAAAATGCTTTTCCACTGGAAAACATCAGTACATCATCAGCAACAGAAATACCATCCAAAATTGCATTTTTTATTTATTAAAACTACAAAATCTTATTTTCAACTCCCCCCACCCTCTTTTCTAAAATAAAAATAAACATGATGTGATAAAGAAAACACAAAAAATCGTTGCCTTTCCTAAAGAAATCAATGAAAGGGGAAATAACAGAAATCTCTTATAAAAAAAGGCTCATTAAGCAATATTGTAATATATTTGAGGAAAAAAAAATATATAAGGAAATATTCCTTTTGTCAAATTAATTTTTTCTGTATCAATACATTTCATAGAAGACAGCTATCTACATTTCCATATTCTCTAATTAAGGCCTACTTAAAAAAACAGAAAAATAAACAGACCTACTTTTTATATCTTTTAACTTTCAGGTAATTTTTCAGAATAGCAACTCATGATAGATCGCAACAATTTTAGTTTTGAATGATCCCTCACACTCTTTAGTTTCCAAATATATAGAAATTATTTCACAGAAACCCCACATTAGTAACAATTCTGGCCTTGATAGCAGGGGAGGGCATGAAAGGTATCATAGAAATTGTGGGTATACTAACGATAATATAATAACAATAAAAACATAATGATGGTAATCTATCACTGTTCACCCATGAGAGCTGCTGGCCCTCTATCCCCGCCCTGGAAAGCAATGAATCCTCTACATATTCATGGCAGGATAGAGCGCACAACCTTTAAGTAGCAGGGGGTACAGACCCTGCATTAAACATTGTAATTACCTAATCACCCTCATTTATTGTGTATTAACACTACGGTTTTGTATTTTCTGTATTTTATTCACATGGCCAAGATTGGTGCTATTGGGGGTTTAGGGGGTTTCCACACAATAATTTCTAAATATTTGGAAACGAGAGAGTGGGAGGAATCCATCGCTACTAATATCGCCGCAATCCATGATGAGCCACTATTCTGAAAAATTACAAAATTTGATTACGTTCCATAGTTCAATGTCTCTCAATAAAGATAACAGATATCAACCATCACTTTTCATGGCTTTCATTTTCAAATTTTCTGAATTTTGTCCATACAATTTTAAGTTTTATATACGTATTATAACCTATTTCAAAAATATGTAATATAATTACTAATGTTATTCTTATTCTTCCGACTGCTAGTAATTTATCCCGAGTCAGTGTGAAACCGTGATACCCATATATAAAACAAGGGAATTTCATAGGAGCATTCTACTGCTCCCCTTAACTCTGTTGGCTCTATGAGATATGAAATGCCAGAAAAATTAGTGCATATCTGTCATATGGCTTCAATCCAAATGTTCTGTGAAAAATTAATTATATATGTGATGGTCAACGTACAAAATTGGGAGTGATGAATCTACAAAAAGTACTTTAGAAAGAGTAAGATATAGCCTAATACAAAAGTTACCATGTTTCAGATTATTCTGCTGTTTGATAATGTAGCTTGAAAAGCTGCATTCAGAACTCCTTGTCTTGCTCGTCCAGACAACTTGTCAGGACCAGCACGACAACGAGGCACCATTCGGAATCTCCAAGGCCTTCACTGCCCACAATGCAACCAGCTCAGAAGTAAATATTCATTATTTCATCATATTGATGTCTTTATCTTATATGCTGCATGGGTGGTTTTAACTGTTTTGATGCATATTTACCTTACCTGCAACTGACTAACATAAAAATACCCTTTGATAACATCAATAAAGAGCAGTAAAATTACCCATCAATATTTTATGGTTGCCTGCAACTGTCACTGTTTACATACAAATGCATCATCTCGTCCTGCTCACCCAGGTGCAAAGGAGGGCAAGATGGACGAGATGAACAACTTGTTCAGGCCACCAAAGTTGGGATTCCGAAAAGTCAAAACATCTTGTCCAACTATTTGGATGAGTTCCAAATGCAGAATCAGTGTAGCAATGACATGTGATGATACTGAATATGTTCCATTGCGTTCTGTCATCCTCAAGTCCCTAAATGTTCTATGTTACACTAACTTCTTTCTGTTCTCTTACAGGATATATGATGATCACGCCCTAAAATGAAAGGAAGAATACAAGGTATTGTAAAAGGATATGCACTTTTTTGTCTCCTACCACTAATACTGCATAAATTGGCTTGTAATTTGATTAGAGGAAAGATAAACTAGAAGAGGAACATGTTAATGTGTGAGCAAGGCGACTATGCATACATGGCTGACTTCTTTAGAGATGGAACATAATATTGCAAGAACCTTATACCTGTTAACTTAAAAATCTTATTAATTCTGTCTTCCATTTTAATCAGGTCCCAATTAAAAACTCCAAATTCAGGCTCATATATTGATACAAATCTATTCAAAAGCTAATATACATTTTTAAAATATACATTACAATATATATATATACATATATATGTATATATACATACATGTATATATATAATATATATATAATATATATATAATATATATAATATATATATATATGTATGTATATATGTATGTATTTATGTATATGTATATATATACACATATGTGTATGTGTATGCATGTATGCATGTGTATGTATGTATATGTATGTGTGTATGTATGTGTATGTATGTATGTGTTTATGTATGTATGTATGTATATATACATATATATAAATATATATAATATATATATATATATATTACATATATACATATATATATATATATATATATATATATATATATAATATTATATATATATATATATATATACATATATACATATATACATAATATATATATATAATATATATATATATATATATATATATATATATATATATATATATATATATATACCTTCAGACACATAAATTATTCAGCAACGAAACACTTTCACTCGTACTCAAAAACCACCCTTTGGGACACCACACGGACCCTTCCTCACCTTCAGTCGCCGTGCCTGGTCTTCCATGCAGTCACATCTCGACTGGAGTTCATCAAGCCGTTGGTACAGGGCTTTATTGGCCTGCTGAAGCTGCTGAATGACCTGCTCGTTCTCCTTTTGTTCAGCCTTCAGCCTCAGAACCTCCGTCTTCAGGGTATCTACTTCGCGTTGGGTCAGATTCAGGTCCTCCTTCAGTCTCTGCGTGAGTTCCTGCTCGCCCTCCACCTTAACACTCACCTTCTGCCCCAAAGCATCACGTGCTTGCGAAAATTCCACCTTGTGAACCATCATTGGCACCTGACACAATTCCATGCTAAACTTTCCGGGTTTGGCCTCCACTAACTCTCCTGCCTGTTGCTGCTGCATTGTGGGGACATCCAGCTTTCTGATTTTCCTCCTCTTTCACTTTTATTAAGGCTTTCCTTATATCCACTGATTATTTGCGAATTAATTCCCATATAGATGCACCTCCTCGACCACCAGGCATAACTCGGATGTGCCGAAATCACCGAGAAATCACGAGGAAAGAGGAGAGTAGCCTCGACCAGAACAGGATCTGACACATCATACGCAACTCGCACCATAACTACGAACGAACGCACGCACACGCTGGCACACACGCACTCACACACACACATACACAGACACGCGCGCGCATACACACACACACACACACACACACACACACACACACACACACACACACACACACACACACACACACACACACACACACACACACACACACACACACACACACAACTAAATATGAACACCAGCAAACAAACACATGAACATACTGCACATGAAGTTCTGTCTGATTTTTGGTGTGCAAGTCGGCAACGTTAAACTTACACATTTTGCCTTACTTTAAACAATCAAACCTTTAAATATTACTCATGCAATCATTTTCATCCTCGGGTTCTTGTTTAACTGATGGTACATATTCCGTTTATAAAACATATGATCTGAAAATTTTCGCCTTTAAATGCGTCTCTGGCAACACACTGGAAGAGAGAGTGTACCGAGAGAAAAGTATTTTCCTGTTTCGTTATACAAAAAAGTTTCCTACTTCAACAGCATGAATCATACCTCATTTTTTTCTCTCATCTTTTTCTTCTGTATTATTCTGCATACGCGATATACACAGGCTTCTTCATTCTCATTCGATTTGTTTATCAATAAAGTTAATAGATGATGATCTAGAGGATTTTTGAAAAGAAGATATGTTTCCCTAGCTGACTTGGCACATCGAGAAAGCTCACAGCGAGCGGTGTGGTTGAGACTGGTTACATTACTTGCGTAAACTGGTTTGTGTCAGCTGTTCCTGTAATAATGCTGACGGTTAGATCCAGCATTTGCCGTTACTGTAGTTGAAATGGCGTTACAGTGATGATGATGATATGATGATGATGATGATGGTGATGATGGGGATAGGGATGATGATGATGGAGATGATAATTATGATAATAAATAAAATTATAATAAAAATGATAATGATTATGATTATTACTACTGCTATTAGCATTACGATCATTATCATTATTATCATCATTATTTTTATCATCATTATGATCATCATTATTATCATCATCATTATGCACATCAACATTATTATTTTTGCTATTAATAACATTATTGTCATTGTTGTTATTAGTATCATTATTATTATTACTCTTATTATTATTATTATCCTTACCATTATTGTTCTTCTTATCATTAATCATATTATCATTGGTATTAGTGTCAGCATCATCATTATTATCAATATTATTATCACTATTATTATTACTGATATTATCATCTATTATCATTATCATTAGCGCCATCTTTATTATCATTATTATTATTATTATTGCTGTTACCATTGTTGCAATAATCGTAATGGTGAAGATGATGATGATGATAACAAAAATAACATGATAAACGTATTAATACTGATAATAATTATGATGAAAACGATTAAAAAGATAAAAATAATGTCCATGATTATAATGATGATAATGATAACAATAAATTACAATACAACAACAAAGAATTACATTGATAATGATAATAACAACATTAGTAATAATAATAATAATAAAAATAATAATGATACTACTACTACTACTACTAATAATAATAATAATGATAATAACAACAAGAATAGCTATTATCGTAACCATGAAAATGATATAATGATGCCACTGTTAGCAATGATGATGTTGATGAAACAGTCCATTAATATATTTCTGTAAAGATAGTCGTTAAGACTATCCTCTCCTTTATTTTATTGTCGTCATTATCATCACAATTATGGATATCGTATTAGTTAGTTATTAGTTGGATTATCACCTGTACTGATATTGTCACCATTATTATTATAACTGCTGTTGTTACATTATTTTATCATTCATACTATTAACATGATTATTGGTTTTCTTACTGTTACAGATTCGTATCATATCATCGTGATATATTGCGTTTCTCCTCTAAAGCCTCGAACTGAGATTGCTAGTCACTTCAATAAGGTTGACAACAAATGCCAGTATTTGCTGGAACTTTTCTACCAGAGTTTTCCTTCTGGATCTTAAAGCCGAATCAATTTATTTCCCTCGAAAGAAAAACAAAAAAACAGCGGACTCCTGTACACCAAGATTTATATCTAGTACCTATGTGATCTGTACATAAAGCTACGAAAAGTCGAAGATTTATAGCCAAGTCCAACGAAATGCGAAACTTCTGGATGGATCTCGGGTAATGCTTGTCTGTGGATGACACAGTGAGCCTGTATGATTCTTTTCTTTAGATAACGTTATACATCCAAGATTAATAATAGTAAAACATCGCCATTGTAACCGCCGGCTAACTTTATCCATAGCATATCATTTTTATTAAAAAAAAAAATAAAAGAGAAAACTTGGGCAAATACATCCGATGCCGTTTACAGTTGACTAGTTTTGTCTTCATATAGAAATCGTGAGTAAACAAGTGTCTTGCAACAAAAGCAACGCTCGCCATTTCACCGAATAGGAAAGAGGATTAGATTTGTCCAGAATTTGTTCTTTCACGTCACCTCAAAAAGTAGCAATACGACGCTTAATTGTGTTAAATGAAAAGGATATCTTAATGATAACTCTTTTGCTTTCATCTCCATGTACACTATCTTCCCCAGCAGAGTGAATCTTTCTTTATTTTGACAGTTAATAGTGAGAGCTCGCAGGACACCATGTACTCTGAATATTCCTAATGATAATTTCATGAGCTTCGTTTCTTGAAGTCCGGCTGTAAAACCCCTTTGGTGTTTGTCTTCATGTCAGTATAAGTAGCCAAGAGCAAAATCAACAACAAACAAAAAATAAATAAATAACAACCAGCAATCTCAGAATAAACACTGAGAACATTAATGATAATAGTGCAACGTACGGAAGGTCAACTTTGGGTAGATTCAGCGGTATTGTGTGATGTAAACAAACTACGTAGTGCTAGTGAATGGTACTTGGACCGAGTGCAGCACACTAAGAGATGTGAAATTGTTGAAAATAAATTATTGATGGCAACTAGCACATTCTCCTCTATAAAGTGAAGGTTTATCACACGATTGCGTTTATATTTCTTTCGCGCAAAATTCCATTTTCTAGGTGACGGTCTCATGCCTCCCCGTTACCACCTCACACGCACACACACACACACACACACACACACACACACACACACACACACACACACACACACACACACACACACACACACACACACACACACACACACACACACACACACACACACACACACACACACACACACACACACACACACACACACACACACACACACACACACACACACACACACATGCATGCATCTAGAAAGGTATGAATGAGAATGAACATCTCAATACAAGATACATCTCTTGAATTGAGAAGATATTCATTCTTATTCATACCTTTCTACATCTAGGAGTGTGCGTGCGTGTATTCATGCATTCACACACACACACACACACACACACACACACACACACACACACACACACACACACACACACACACACACACACACACACATTTTTTCTCTCCGCTTCTTAAAGCCTCTGATAGAAATTCTCTGATAAAATTCTCGTATAACGCATGGTCGCATTCGATTCTGCGTGCGTGCGTTTACACATGTCGACTCGCGGAACTACATAACAGATTGACGTCATAAATTGAGTGAGGATTCATCTGCCCCCTCGAAATGATATTCTTCATGTGCATCTGTTTTGTACATCCTTGAGTATGATGTGTAAATTAACGCTCATAAGAGTATAATCGAATGTTTTCCCAATTATAATTTAGGACCAGTCTAATAGTCTCTATTTTGTGGAATCACCTATAAACTTAGGATAATTCATACTCGTGATCATAGGATTTTTTTCATACCCTTGTCGTTAGGACACAATAACAGTAAAATCATCTGTAAATGTTAGACTAGCCTATAAATTACGTAATCTTTCCCAGTCATGTTATCATAGATAAGGAGAGATAAGTGTGTGATATCAATGGTTCAGTTCTCCCATTGCTTATATAAGACAGTACGTCGCTTATATAATACTGTTAGGGTCGGCACGGGTTTTGAAGAATCATGGCATATCATAAAAATTTAAATTAACAGACCTGGACTATAGTAAGATTTTGTTTTCAAGTCTAGAATATCATGGAAATTTAGTATTTGTGTAGATTTAATTATTTTCTTTTCAAATTAAAAACTGTGAAAAGTCATAGAAAAATGCCAAAACCTCTTTGGAAATTCGGAAATTTTGATACCAGAAAAGTGTATGAACTCTGGATTATTGCATTCTTCCAGTAATAATTATGTTGTAAAAGAGGTTCCACTTCAGCCACAGTGGATTTTGTTTTCGTCTGCATTTGTTTAATCTATTCAGGAAAAGGCTTTTTTTGATTGTTTCTTTGCTTATTTTTTGCATTTTTCTATTAGACCACATCAAAAGAAATTACCGATAAACTGTAATGCAATTTTTCTGTGTATTGACCATGATCCAGTTGATTAGATTTTGGCGATGAACTGGGTCTGTGTATGTCATTATTACTTCGGTTAACATTCGTGACTATTTTTCATTGTCTAGTAGCAGTATCCCATATGTTTGTTACAGGGAGGCAATGCATGTGGTAGATCATATTGCTTGAGCAGGATTGCAAGAAAACAGGGGTATTTTTTCATTGACTTGTGTATTTGTTGTCTGACAAATAAATTAAGACTTCCTAAAAGAGTAAAACAAAAAAAACATTAAACAATTAGATACTCTATTCCATAGATTTTGAATACCAAAATACACCAATGCTCATTGAGACAGGCTATGCTAATAATTGTCTAAGAAATTATGAAAGCTTCCTTAACAATAAACTTTGTCTGGCTTAAATGCATGGAAGAAAACCATATTCACTGCTGGAAAAGAATATAATATATATATAGCTGATGAAATGTTGGGAGAAGCAGCTGCAAAGCAAACATACCGACGTAAATTTAGACCTCTGAAAAAAAATTTAAAGCAAAAGCACAATCAGCTGATGGCCGAAAAGTAAACAGTAGATCGTGAAGCTTATTTAACATACTAATACTTATTTGTGTTTAATGAAAATACTATAAATTATCATCGAAAATGTTACCAGAAATGCAAATTTTCGGTGACTAGCATCCGGCCAAAAATAATTGCAACTTGGCCTTTGCAAAATGCTTCATGGAATTTAGTGTCCTATCACTGAAATACAGAAGAGACAAAACAACAGCGAATAGTATTGTTTTGACACTCGTCCTAGCACAAAAAATATTACAAATAAGTGGTTCATCATTGCAATAAAAATATTCAGCCAAACATGTAAAGAAGTCCAAATCCACTACTGTCCTTAATATGAAATACTGACGGGTCTAGCATACAATATCAAAGTACAAAACTTTTTTAAGATTCAACACAAAAACAAAGTATCATTTTGTATAGGATTGTAACTCAACATCTCCACATAAATATATACTTGATAACAATAATTGGAGTATAGGTACGCAGACCATACAACCAAACAATTTTCCTTATTTACATTCCTATTTACACTTCTGTCCCTCATCAAGCCAAATATCTCAGTCATCCCTCATCTAACCATTTTCTTTGACGACGCTCCGCTATTGGTGGTTTGTCAGTACGTTTTCTTAAACTTTCTACCCTATTCTTATCTATTTCTGTAAACACAACATACTACCCAATGTTCCACATCATGGATAATTAAATGGATAGTATATATCTATAATATATATATCCAGTGCAGCCTGATGAACACTGGTCCACGCCAGGCCTTCTTCAGGTGGGCACAAACAGTACTTCGAGAATACCGGTGCCACTTTCATGAAGTGCATGAGCCTCTCAGAGCAAGTACGCTATATCCATGGAAAGGCCAAACCAACAAAACTACTCGCATTATCTTTCCCTCCGTTGATGTTCTCGCCCGTAGTCGCCCTGATAAACCAGCTGAAACATTGCAACCGAAACAGCCAGGGTACTTGAGAGATTTTAAATAGCTTGGAAATATTGGGTTCTCCTCTGCTCTCGCCCTCCACATCCCTAGACTGCTCAGTCATCGGTCACTGCCGAGCCTTTGACCTAACATGACCTGCCGTCGTTTACCTCTCTCTCTTTCCATGTTTCTGTATATGTAGGTTTATTTTTTATGAACACTAAACGGAGTAAATATCATACTTTACACATTTAGACAAGTTCGTACATTTAGGTGTATACGCCACTGTCTTATAATTTCTTCAAGTACATTCTGTTTCCTTGGAATGCCAGCTGCCATCCGTAAGTTTCTATAAGACAATGACATGCAAATTATCTTTCATAACTTCAAAGATTCTTCAGAGTGGATATCATTCACAATACTATAACCATAATTTGAAAAGCGAAACTCAACGGCATGTATTAAAAATAAGACTAACAATCATACCGAACCGTAATCGTAAACACAAATACGAAAATTAATTAAATCTAATTACACATAAATGAGTTTCAGCACAGAGATGACATTAGACAACTTAATTATCTATCGAAATAATAAAGGTTCCTAACCTCTTTGGAAATTCGGAAATTTTGACACTAGATAAGTGTATGAACTCTGGATTATTGCACTCTTCCAGCAATCATTATGTAAAAGAGGTTCCACTTCAGCCACAGTGGGAGATTTTGTTTTCGTCTGCACTTGTTTAATCTATTTAGGCAAAGGCTTTTTGTTTGTTTCTATCTTTCTATGAGAACACAACAAAAGAAATTACCCATAACCTGTAATGCAATTTTTCTGTGTATTGACCATGATCCAGTTGATTAGATTTTGGCGATGAACTGGGTCTGTGTATGTCATTATGACTTCGGTTAACATTCGTCACTAATTTTCATTGTCTAGTAGCAGTATCCCATATGTTTGTTACAGGGAGACAATGCATGTGGTAGTTCATATTGCTTGAGCAGGATTGCAAGAAAACAGGGGTATTTTTTCATTTACTTGTGTAATTGTTGTCTGACAAATAAATTAAGACTTCCTAAAAGAGTAAAACAAACAAACAAACAAAAAAAAAACATTAAACAATTAGATACTCTATTCCATAGATTTTGAATACCAAAATACACCAATGCTCATTGAGACAGGCTATGCTAATAATTGTCTAAGAAATTATGAAAGCTTCCTTAACAATAAACTTTGTCTGGCTTAAATGCATGGAAGAAAACCATATTCACTGCTGGAAAAGAATATAATATATATATAGCTGATGAAATGTTGGGAGAAGCAGCTGCAAAGCAAACATACCGACGTAAATTTAGACCTCTGAAAAAAAAATTAAAGCAAAAGCACAATCAGCTGATGGCCGAAAAGTAAACAGTAGATCGTGAAGCTTATTTAACATACTAATACTTATTTGTGTTTAATGAAAAAAAATATAAATTATCATCGAAAATGTTACCAGAAATGCAAATTTTCGGTGACTAGCATCCGGCCAAAAGTAATTGCAACTTGGCCTTTGCAAAATGCTTCATGGAATTTAGTGTCATATCACAAATACAGAAGAGACAAAACAACAACGAATAGTATTGTTTTGACACTTTCGTCCTAGCACAAAAAGAATATTACAAATAAGTGGTTCATCATTACAATACAAATATTCATCTAAACATGTATTGAAGCCCAAATCCACTACTGTCCTTCATATGAAATACTGACGGGTCGAGCATACAATATCAAAGTACAAAACTTTTTTAAGATTCAACACAAAAACAAAGTATCATTTTGTATAGGATTGTAACTCAACATCTCCACATAAATATATACTTGATAACAATAATTGGAGTATAGGTACGCAGACCATACAACCAAACAATTTTCCTTATTTACATTCCTATTTACACTTCTGTCCCTCATCAAGCCAAATATCTCAGTCATCCCTCATCTAACCATTTTCTTTGACGACGCTCCGCTATTGGTGGTTTGTCAGTACGTTTTCTTAAACTTTCTACCCTATTCTTATCTATTTCTGTAAACACAACATACTACCCAATGTTCCACATCATGGATTATTAAATGGATAGTATATATCTATAATATATATATCCAGTGCAGCCTGATGAACACTGGTCCACGCCAGGCCTTCTTCAGGTGGGCACAAACAGTACTTCGAGAATACCGGTGCCACTTTCATGAAGTGCATGAGCCTCTCAGAGCAAGTACGCTATATCCATGGAAAGGCCAAACCAACAAAACTACTCGCATTATCTTTCCCTCCGTTGATGTTCTCGCCCGCAGTCGCCCTGATAAACCAGCTGAAACATTGCAACCGAAACAGCCAGGGTACTTGAGAGATTTTAAATAGCTTGGAAATATTGGGTTCTCCTCTGCCCTCGCCCTCCACATCCCTAGACTGCTCAGTCATCGGTCACTGCCGAGCCTTTGACCTAACATGACCTGCCGTCGTTTACCTCTCTCTCTCTCTTATGTTTGTGTGTGTGGTTTATTTTTTTTATGAACACTAAACGGAGTAAATATCATACTTTACACATTTAGACAAGTTCGTACATTTAGGTGTATACGCCACTGTCTTATAATTTCTTCAAGTACATTCTGTTTCCTTGGAATGCCAGCTGCCATCCGTAAGTTTCTATAAGACAATGACATGCAAATTATCTTTCATAACTTCAAAGATTCTTCAGAGTGGATATCATTCACAATACTATAACCATAATTTGAAAAGCGAAACTCAACGGCATGTATTAAAAATAAGACTAACAATCATACCGAACCGTAATCGTAAACACAAATACGAAAATTAATTAAATCTAATTACACATAAATGAGTTTCAGCACAGAGATGACATTAGACAACTTAATTATCTATCGAAATAATAAAGGTTCCTAACCTCTTTGGAAATTCGGAAATTTTGACACTAGATAAGTGTATGAACTCTGGATTATTGCACTCTTCCAGCAATCATTATGTAAAAGAGGTTCCACTTCAGCCACAGTGGGAGATTTTGTTTTCGTCTGCACTTGTTTAATCTATTTAGGCAAAGGCTTTTTTGTTTGTTTCTATCTTTCTATGAGAACACAACAAAAGAAATTACCCATAACCTGTAATGCAATTTTTGTGTATTGACCATGATCCAGTTGATTAGATTTTGGCGATGAACTGGGTCTGTGTATGTCATTATGACTTCGGTTAACATTCGTGACTATTTTTCATTGTCTAGTAGCAGTATCCCATATGTTTATTACAGGGAGACAATGCATGTGGTAGATCATATTGCTTGAGCAGGATTGCAAGAAAACAGGGGTATTTTTTCATTTACTTGTGTAATTGTTGTCTGACAAATAAATTAAGACTT